TTATGAAGAATATGTTTTTATTTTTAAAGATAACAAAAATTATTTTAAATACAAAAGCTGTATTTTAGGTAATAATTATTTGTAATTTATTGGCCCAAATTAGGCCTCGGCAAGCTATGGTCAATGGGTTATAATCTGCCCACCCCTGTTTTTGTATAGACAACATGCTAAGAATGGTGTTTACATTTCTTAATGTTTGAAAATCAAAAGACAAATGGTATTTTATGACACATGAAAATTATATGAAATTCAAATTTCAGTATCTATAAATAAATAAAGATTTATTGGAATATAGCCACAGTTATTTGTTTATATTTTACCTATGAATGCTTTCATGCAACAATGACAGAATTGAGTGTTTTAAATTTAAGCAAAGTATAATATGCAGATGAACTGAAACAATTTTTCTGAAGATAATGGAAGATCTTCTTGAGCCCTGATTACCTAAGATGTGATTCATGTTTATATCTCTATGAGATCCCTTTATTGATACTGAGGTTACAGGAGTTGATACATAGAACCAAAGAAACCCAGCACCAGTAATTCTTTCAGGGACTTTCTAGGTGGTAGGGTTATTTTCAGTTTCCTAAATCCTATAGAATTCTTACCTTGGCAAAAAAAAAAAAAATGTTTTTCCACTAATTAGTAAGGGTAAATATTTAAATAAAGACTTAATCATCTTTAATAATATCTGATAATATACTTAATGCAGTTCCTTTATCACTAATATAACCTTATTTGAGCAATCTGTTGTAGGTGTTATAATTACTCCTACTTATTATCATTTTTCAGGTTATACTTCAGATCCACAAAGGTCAAGTGATTTAACTCAATCACTATCCCAAATTTGTGATAGAGTTTGTGTTAGAGCCTTCCATTCCCCTTAGCTCATTGATCTCAGGTAGGAGTGTTTTAAGGTTAAATTGAAGAGTTTGAAAAACTATCTAGTAATTATTCAAATGAATGACGTGGTCATTAATAATTTTTTCCAATTGACAGATATATAAAAATTCATTTATGAACCTACTGATATTATCATCTTTACAGGGAAACTTAAAGAGAATATACAAAATATATGAAAAGAAATAATAGGCACTTTTTTCCAACTCCAGTTTTAGAGACTACAATACAGTTTTTCCTGTAACAGCTTTGTTTGCTGGTCCCTCTGCTTCCACATTTGTTCCCTCTGTTCTCTACACAGCAACCAGAGTTGCTCTTTCCTCAGGCATCATTCATGTTGTCACTCCCTTGCTTGAAACTTTCAGATTTCCCAATACAACTTTAAAAAAACAAGTCCTTAACATCACTTCCAAGGCCCTATGTGGTTTAACTCATGCCAGCCTCTGCAGCCTCATCTCCCTTCATACCACATCTGATTGTCTTTGCTTTAATCAGGATGGCCTTCTTTCTGTTCCTTGAACACATCAAGCGCATTGCCATGTCTCAGCCATCGCCTTGCTTTCTGCTTAAAATGCTCTTTACCTGTTTCACCATTCAGATCTCAACTCAAATTCCTGTAGATTTCTCTTGCTTCCCTAGTGAAGGCATCTGCCCCTCTCTACCCTACCCCCTATATATTATTCCATTTTATCATCTTTATAGCTATTATCAGTTTTGAAATTATCTATTATTTAGATGTCTTTTTTGTACCGGTACTCTGGAATGTAAACTCTTTGAGAGATTGCTTTATGCTTGCCCTATACATTGATGATTTCTAACTAGAATGGTGTTTAACATATAGTAGGTGCTCAGAAAATATTTGTTTATACTCCAAAGCATTATAATACAGAATTCACCATTGCCATTCCTCTCAGAACTGAATTTTCTTCCTGTCTAAGTCTTAGAAGGACACATTTTTTGGGGGGGTTATTTTCATTTGTAAATGTAAGTATTTGGATTGCCCCACTCCATCATCCAGAAAAAGACACAGATATAATAAGGGAGTTCTTTTTTTATGGTTCTTCTAAAATAATTAATGACTTTTTTCCCTTATAATGTTTTACATATGCATATAGAAACTTCTTTATTTTTTTAAAGATTTTTATTGGGGAGTTGGGGGATGGGAACAGCGCTGGGGAATTGGGGGAAGGGGAACAGACAAGTTGCTGTTGTTTTTTTTTGTTCTTCAGTCTAGTTGTAGAGGACGTTGCTTCACTGGCCCAAGTTGGCACCATCATTGTGCTCTTCCTGGGNAAATATTATTTGAAGTACAAGTAGTAAAGCTATGATGTAGTTTTGTCATATATTGCCCTTTTTTTCTGTTGTCCTAGGCCTCCTAATTATGTTGAGATGTTACATCAATTTATGACATCTTTTTTTTAATCCTCTGGATTTCTATGCCCTTCTCTCTTTCATATCTCCTCTGCCAAAATGTGTGTTAAAATCTTACCTCAGTCATTCTTACAATTGAATGTAGCATTTTACTACACGAGATAATTGTGGGTCAATTTTATTTCCTCTTTTTAGAGCTTCCAGTTAGTTCACCACTTTGTCATGCAGTTCTGAAAACTCTTCAGTGTTGGGAACAAGTTCTTCTCCGACGACTTGAAATCCATGGTGGACCACCTCAAAACTATATCGCAATTCATACCTCTGAAGAGAGCTTGTCTGCAGGTCCTGCAATTCTCCGCCACAAAGCTTTGCTGGAACCTACAAACACTCCTTTCAAGTAGGTTTTTCTGGGTACTGTTTTTAAGTATGAGTTTTACTAAATTGTTTTCAGGTAGTATTTAAAGAAAAATATTTAAGTCTTTTTATGTATAATTTGCTGTTCTGGGCTCATACCTGTGTCTTTGTGTGATGCATATTGTAGTCCAGGGGTTAGCAAACATTTCCTGCAGAAGTCCAGATAAGGAAATGTTTTGGGCTTTGAGGGCCTTAGAATCCTGTGGCAACTATTCAACCCTGCCATTGTGGAGTGAAAGCAACTGTGGAAATAAGTAAATGAGTGAGCATGACTGTGAACCAGTAAACTTTATTTTCGAAAATAAAAGCTTGCTGGATATGACATGTGGACCATAGTTTACTGAC